AAACCCGTGTCTCTTGCCTCAATCTATGCTCAATGACTCTCTCCCAGAGCTTCATTGTATGACTCATTAGCTTAATACCCATATAGTTCATGCAATTTTGTACGTCGCCCTTATTCTTGTAGATAGGCACCAAAGTGCTCTTTCGCCACTCATTTGGCATCTTCTTCGTTTTCAAAATCCTATTGAAAAGGTCAGTGAGCCATGCTATATCTGTCTCTCCCAAGACTTTCCACACTTCGATCGGTATATCGTCTGGGTCCACTGCTTTTCTATGCTTCATCTTCTTCAAAGCTACAACCACTTCTTCTTTCCTGATTCGACGATAAAAGGAGTAGTTTCTACACTCTTCTGAGTTACTCAACTCCCCTAAAGAAGTACTCCTTTCATGTCCTTCATTGAAAAGATTATGAAAATAACCTCTCCATCTGTCTTTGACCGCGTTCTTTGTAGCAAGAACATTTCCATCCTCATCCTTGATGCACCTCACTTGGTTTAGGTCTCTTGTATTCTTTTCCCTTGCTCTAGCTAGTTTATAGATATCCAACTCTCCTTCTTTGGTATCTAGTCGCTTATACATATCGTCATAAGCCGCTAACTTAGCTTCTCTCACAGCTTTCTTCGCCTCTTGCTTCGCTTTTCTATACCTTTCACCATTTTCATCGGTCCTGTCCTTGTATAAGGCTTTACAACATTCCTTCTTAGCCTTCACCTTTGTTTGTACCTCCTCATTCCACCACCAAGATTCCTTTTGGTATGGAGCAAAGCCCTTGGACTCTCCTAATACATCTTTTGCTACTTTTCGGATACAACTAGCCATGGAATCCCACCTTTGGCTAGCTTCCCCCTCTCTATCCCACCCATACTGGGTGATTACTTTCTCTTTGAAAATGACTTGTTTTTCTCCTTTTAGATTCCACCATCTAGTCCTTGGGCACTTCCAAGTCTTGTTCTTTTTTCTCACTCTTTTGATATGTACATCCATCACCAACAAGCGATGTTGATTAGCCAAGCTCTCTCCCGGTATAACTTTGCAATCCTTACAAGTTATACGATCCCCTTTCCTCTTTAGAAGAAAATTTATTTGTGTTTTTGACGATCCACTCTTGTAGGTGATCACATGTTCTTCTCTCTTATTAAAGAAGGTGTTGGCTAAGAAGAGATCATATGCCATTGCAAAATCCAAGATAGCTTCCCCATCCTCGTTTCTCTCCCTAAAACCATGGCCACCATGAAAACCTCCATAGTTGCCTGTCTCTCTGCCCACGTGTCTATTTAAATCTCCTCCTATAAATAACTTCTCCGTCTGGGCAATTCCTTGCACCAAGTCTCCAAGGTCTTCCCAAAATTTCTCCTTCGAACTCGTATCCAACCCTACTTGAGGTGCGTACGCACTAATCACATTGATGAGTTCTTGTCCTATTACAATCTTGATTGCCATGATTCTATCTCCTACCCTTTTGACATCTACAATATCTTGTGTCAAGGTCTTGTCCACGATGATGCCAACACCGTTTCTCGTTCTATTTGTGCCCGAATACCAAAGTTTAAACCCTGAGTTTTCTAGATCCTTTGCCTTAAGTCCAACCCATTTAGTTTCTTGTAGGCACATAATATTTATCCTTATCCTCACCATAACTTCCACTACTTCCATAGATTTTCCCGTTAAGGTTCCTATATTCCACGTTCCTAAACACATTCTGCTCTCTTGAACTCTACCCTTCTGTCCTAACTTCTTCACCCTCCCTCATCCAATAGAATCAAAGTACTTCTTTTGTGTGTCATGTGTAAAGTTGATAGGAGCATATGCTCCCAAACAACTTTGAGTGGAGTCGTTCGAAAAGAAGTTTCTATGGCCCCCTTGCTCATTTAACACTGCATCCGGGTGCCGATGGAGATACAGCGACCCTTACTCACTTATCACTGTGCTCGGGCCACACAGCGCGCCACTTACGGGTGACGCCCTAGCTTTAGTGCGATTTCGTTCTGGATTCATTTTCATAAGGATTCGACGTAACTATGGAGTGCCGGCTGTCGACTACCTGACGCCCTCCCCCTCCTCCTTTACCCGGGCTTGGGACCGGCAATGTAAGATAAACTTACACAGCCGGAGTTTTCGGTGAAATAAATGTAGATCAAAAATTAAAATTCCAACGTTCACCTGTCACATAAATTTTACACGTAGCATGTAACTCAACGAAAAATCGAAAATCATTAGAAAAGTCATCAAGTAGGACATGTTTCAACACCTGGCAGAAATGATTTATTTCATCTGATTATTTAAACCCAAAAATCAAGTTTTGAAATTCTATAAATAGGAAGCCAAGGCATTCATTTTGAGGGACCAATTCACATCACACCAAAGCCTTGAAGCTTTGAAACTCCAAAGCTCCCAAGCAAATCCTGAAGGATCAAGAAAGCTCTCTTCGTTCTTCGTCAAATCCTCATTCAAGATCAAGCGCTAACGGCCCTTAAAGAACTTCCACCAATTCAAGATCAATCCCCGACGACCCTTGAAGAAAGTGTTCATTGTTCATCATTCGTTCATCCTAAGATCAAGCCCCAACGACCATTTGGATCAACAACATCAACAAATCCACACCCGTTCTTCAAGATCAAGCCCAAAAGCCCTTGAAGATCCATTCATCCCCGTTCTTTAAGATCAAGCCCAAAAGCTCTTGAAGATCCATTAATCCATCAACCTTCGAGATCAATCCCCGAAGGCCCTTGAAGAAACTTCCCTCAACCTTCAAGATTAAGCCCCTAAGGCCCTTGAAGAAACTTCCAATCGTTCATCTAAGATCAAGCCTCGACGGCCCTTGGATCAACAAAATATCCACAAGTCTACATCTTACGAAGATCGAATCAGAGGCTAAATTTGTAGAAGAGATTGTAACCCCCAAATCATTAATACAAAATATTATTTTGTACATGTGTTCTTGTCTCTTTTGTTTCAGGAATTTCCTTGTTTACATCTTCCTTTTAGGAAATGTTTAGATTAATTTTTCTTAGGACAATTGGTGTGATGTTACCATTTGAGATCTGCCACTTTGCTTAGAGGCTAATGCTTTTGACTTGCTCTTTAATTTGGATAGAAAGAAGCAATTTTTAACATCTGGGTGTTGTTTAATTTTGATTTGGAAGATAACCCAGTTGCTAGTTGGACTTGATAATTGCTGTGAATTTTCCTTTTGGATAAAAATAGGCAATGGCATCTGGGTTTTCTTCTATTTTTGATTTGGAAGTTACCCACTTCCTAGTTAACTGGATAATTGTTATAAATTTTCATCTTTGATTGCTTAAATTTTATTGATATTTAGCAGAAAACTTCTATTCTGCCATGGAAAGTCATTGTTTAGCTTGATTAACTGATTTTCTTTCCTTTTCGTTTTTTGCTCCCCTAGAATTTATTCGATAATCAATTTGATCAATAAAAATGTTGATTTTGTTATGGTTGTGCCTCCTTGATGCAGGGTGGTTGTGTATGGTTGAGCTTGAAAATTCTTGGAGGCTGGTGATGACGGATTCACTTTCGTGGGATTCGCCGGAAGGGGGCGGCTTGTCCATGGTTGAGAAGTTGCGTATGAGGTGTTCTAGAGAGAAAAAAAAGTCGATAAAAATATGGGGGTTGGTGGTCAATGTTCAGTGGTGTTCATGTAAGATACGATACAGAGGAACATTTGATACAAATACGAGTATAGTTTTCTGATAAGAAATAATGATTGTACATACTAATACAAGTCGCAATGATGTGTCTTTCTTCTAAAATATTGCACCTTGTTTACGTATCTACTACAATCTACTTTCCTTTCGATTTCCTTTCTACAAATCTTCATACAAATTGGTGCAGAAACATACATGATTAAATGATGACTTGTTAGAAATTCCAAACGTCCGGTTAAAGAATTAAGGTTGGGTCGAAAACCAAAAGAACAAAGTATATTAAGTAATTGACCTTTATTGGTCAAACAATTAAATTACTAGCATATTTAGTATTATGCCATTTTTGGTCATTTTATACAGTCATAGTTATTTTACATAAAAATTTACCAAACACTGTAACACTGCTTTTTTTTCCAAAAGCACTTTTACAAAAAAGTTTACCAAACACTCTGCTGCTTTATTTCACAGCTGCTCAACACAGCCGAAACAACTTTTTTTGAAAGCACATCAATACCAAACCAGCTCTAAGACACTTAGATAGTTTAATTATGGTGATTAATAATTCAAAACATATGCATGCATAATATCATTAGTAAATTGAAAAGAAACTACATATTCTTACTAAGACTTGTGGCCTAACCCGAGTAAAAGAGGCTAGTTACGAACAATCATAAAACAAAATATTATTAAGAATAGAGATAGAAAACACCTAGAAAATAAACTTCAACCATCAAAGTTATCTAAGTTGGATTCTCCATAGTAGTGCGTTCCCAACCCTAATGGCTAAATAACCTTATTTATACTACTACAAAATAAAACCCTACCTAGAAAAGGTCTTAGAATAAAACTAGAAAACAAAACAAATTAAGATAAATTAGGAAACAATCTTCTAGTCAAACATAGAGAAATCCGCCATCTAACAAATGGGCCATGATAGCTTGTTTTAAAAATTAGAACAATCTGAACACATATCTAGAAGGGGCCAATCCAAAATAGACCAGGGCTCCAAAACTTGCAATCGAGCCCAAAATGTCACTTTTCCAGTACCGTGCACTGCTCCTTAATTCTATCGCCAGAAAATAACCACTTGGTGGAAAATATGATATTTTGACACAAAGGAAGTCGAAAGTCCTCCACTTAGAATTACTTCAAAATTCATTTAATCACACTTTTCCCTAGAGGAAGTCGAAAGCCCTATGTTGAAAATACAATTCAAAGTATCAAAATTATTCGAAAATAATAACCAAAATAAACTAGGATTAGAGTAAAATATGTAATATAATATGGACTCATCAATTGTAATCACATATCAAGTCAGATACAAACTTGATACAGAAAAATGAGTTTGAAGATTTCTATAAGATTAGTTTACTCTAGATAAGTCATTTGAAATATAATTTAGTAATCCTCAATCTGCGTTCAAAACCAGAATAATATTACTTGTGGAGCTAGTTAGTTTGTAATCCATTCACACCACCCCTGTAACTATTATATAATCGTACCTGTAATTCTTTGATTCTATCAGCTTTCCCTACTGGATCTGTCTCAGCATACACCTTATCAATGGCAACCTCCTTCCCAATGGCTGCCGCTGTAGCCAAGTTATCGCCAGTAACCATGATGCTTGTAATGTTCGTCGAGTGAAGAACTCCTCCATTAAGTAATTGGAGAAGAGCACAGCATTGCCTACTACGGGTTTCCCAACCGTCCGAGTCCTGTTTTATCAAAAACAACCGTTTTCACCTGCAGGGATCAAACACGTCCGTAAACGTCCGGACACCAACAAAGTGTCAAATGCTAAGAAACGCATCAACCTTCATGACTTAGGTACCGTTTCTTCAGCTTCTAATTTTGGAAAGAACAAAAACCCCAAAAAGAACGAAACAATTATTAGCCTTGTTAAAAAAAAGGAGTTAGGGTAAAGAGAACTCTCCTTCAGTGAGAGCTGTCATCTACAAGAAATGGTGACATGGACAAGCTGCATACAGCCATCAATCGTCCAGAACCAAGGGGTCATATGAAACAGATTCCAACTATGAAATAAATCAAATAATAGTTGCATGTTCAATCCCAATATGTAGAAAGAACATCCTCCATACCCAATGACATAGATTGCGTTTAGGTTTATGTCTAGAGCCTAAACATTGATCGAACCGAGGCAGAGCGTATTACTGGTCAGGAATGAAGTGCATAACTGGTTATAATACCGAACACCAACATAATCTATGCTAGCATAGGTGATCAGACCAGACCAGTACGAGGAGAGCAACTGCATAACGAAGGAAAGACAAGAAAAACAACTACACTTGCACCCTCAAGACATATATAGATGGTATCTAATCAGTAAATGTTTTTTCCCAATCCCAAAACAAACAGGTTTTCAACGTCCTCGGAAGGAAAAGTAAGTGGGAACAAGCATAATGAAGCAACTAAACATACCAGCAAAAAGAACATGAAAATAAAACGCATGAAAACCAGATTTTATATTAAAAAGGGAAGGAGTGAGAGTAATAAGAGTAACCGAGAAGATGAGGAATGAGACTAGCATCAGAAGAACCGTTGCAGGAATACAAGGAGAGAGAGCTGTGAACGAGCGGGTAAACCAGCGTGTTGTCTCAGCAATCGACAGAGGAATCCCCAAGAATGTAGAATGCAGGGGGCGCATTTGGGTGGTCATTCTGCACTGTCGAAACCTCTGGCAATCTCCCGTGAGCTATAACGACGAAACCCATCACCGAAAGGGCAAGAAGATGAACCAGAATTGACTCTTTTGGCAAATTTGCGCTAGCCAACCCTGTCATCTTTGCTTTGTTTCTTGTGCTCAATGTCTTGCTGATCTTCTGCGCTGCTTAAATTCTTGAATTGAATTGAATTGTTGCCTCTGTAAAAATCTATAAGTTGAGTTGAGAAAACGACTGTTGGTGGTGTGTAGGTGGAAAGGGATAAGCAAATGAGGGATTGGTTTGGCGATAGGCATGAAAAAAATGCCCAGTGAAAAGGGAGGTCGGCTGCTACCCAAGTTTTTCAGCTGCAGGCACTGGGTTTGGATTTTTTGTCAAAATTTTTCTTTTGACTTATTTATTTTTTTTTTATTTTTGTCCAATATACATCGTTCTTAGTTGTTTTAAAAAAAATATGTATTGTTTTTTTACGAATGATATTATCTACACTGAAGAGATGGGGGAGGGGGTTAAGTCTCCCAATAGGTTAGGAGTAATGTGGTTTAAATCCGTCCTTAATGAGAATCGAATCTAAGATCTTTCACTTACAAGTGAAACGAAATACAATAGTATTTTTTTTTAGTACATCAATATTTTTTACACTAAGGGGAGGGGGTTCAGATAAGCCACACAATGAGCAACCTAATTTTGTATCGAATTCGCCATCCACGAGATTCGAACCTAAGATCTCTCACATCTAAGTAAAAATGAATACCACAAGACCGTAGTATTAAGTGACTAAAAAAAATATGCTGGATATACTTGGTTGTTAGAAAAAAAATCCATTGAGGATTTGTGTGTCATCTAGAAAGTAATTGGGTCCCAATTTGTCACACCCTAGCTTTCTATAGCATTTTTTTTGGAAGAGATCATCTCCGGATCTTTCATTAAATCCACCAAATTCATTAATCCAGGCTTTTGAAATTTGATCCAACGACTGCAAACAAGGGACTTTTTTAAAAGTTATAATAATTTTAGCCGTTGTATCAAATTTCAAAGGCCCAATTTAATAGATTGGGGTGACTTTGGTGGGAGACATCTTGAGAGGATCTCTTCCCCATTTTTTCACTCGATAATTTCGTCGAAATTAAGGGGTGTAGTCAATTTTGATTTCAGAAGATTTTAATAGACTTTTTGTAGGTGACAGATTTTAAAGGATTTTAATAGACTTTACCATTCCATATGGATTTTGACAGATTTTACATGGATTCCTATTACAGATTTGTATGGATTCTTTCTTGTATTTCTTATGATTTTGTAAAAGTTGAGAATCACACTAAAAGCATTTTTAATGAAATCCAACGGCTGGGATTAACATCTCCAATTCTATGCAATTGAAACCCTAAGGCTTCGTTTGGCAGCTCGGACTGTACTGACTATTTCTGTCGGATAGGATAAATAGCCACCGGATAGTACTGACTAAATTAGTCGGGCGTTTGGTGCAGTATTGGACTAATAACCGTATTATTTATACTGTGTTTGGTATTATACGGGAGGAATCAAACTTAAAATAAAATTTAAAAAAAAAAACAGAAATCCTCTCTTTTGTTCCCAGATCTCTCCGCCGCAAACCCCCCAAAATCCCTCCCTCTCTATCCTTTCTTCTTCCTCCCCGTCTGCTCCTTGAATGAAACCCCACCACAAAGGCAGCAACAAGAAAGCTATCAAAACCCACCTTTCAAATTCTCATCGTTTTTTTCCCAATCCTTCTCTTTTTTATTTTTTTTAGCTACAAAGTAGCCCAGCAAAAGTACTGAGGATGACTGGTTCGCTGGAAGAATTGAGGAGGAAGAAGAAACGGGAAGAACACCAATCCTTCTCTTTTTTCCCAATCCTTATCTTTTTTATTTTTTTCCCAATCCTTCGATCTCTTTCTTCCCCGTATTCTTCTTCTTCTTCTTCTTCAAATTCCATCGTTTTTTTTTTTAGTTTCTGCTTTGCAGGTTCGCCGGCAAAGGAATTGGGTTTTGGGATTTGTGGGAAAGAGCGGGAAGAACAAAGGGAGGGGAAACGAAGAAGAAGATGTTCACCTCTGTTGACTGCGTGGTGGTGGGCGGTGGAATCAGTGGGCTCTGCATCGCTCAGGTGCTGGCTACCAAGCACAGCGACGCCATTCCGATTGTCATAGTCACGGAGGCTAAGGACCAGGTGGGAGGCAACATCATCACCGTCGAGAAGGACAGCTATGCTGGGCAGAGACACGGCTGCGTCTGGAGAGGAAGGACCCGACTAAATTGTCCCGTGGTTTTGGAGAGGATAAACAAGCGGGTGTTTACCGTATAAAGTGGGTGGGACCGGATTGTTTAATCCGGTGGCTATTTAATACAATTGGACACCAAACACCGTACTCCGTATTATTAGTACTATCCGATGTCTTATACGGTGTGCCAAACGAGGCCTAATTTTTTTTTTCTCTTCCGTCATTGCTGCTCCTTTCAGAGTTGAGATGCATTGTCAACATCTTGGTTAAGCACCATTGCAAGAATGGGGATCTTGATTTTACTTTTGGGGTTTTGAAGGAAGTGAAAAGGTCCAAAATTGCTTACCCTAATTTGATTAGTTACTCAACTCTCTTGGTTGGTCTCCATGAAAGTGGAAGACTCACGGGAAGGGCACCGAATTGGGAGGGCAGAGAATCCAAGTCCTTAGGATTCGGGGGGGGGGGGGAGGGGGAGAGAGGATTAGGATTCTTGATGACATATGATATTTATACCACTCACTCTCAAATCCATCAAAATCCACCATTTATTGAAATTCTAGCAAATCACTTGGGTGGACTTTGTAAAAATTTTAATTGACTACCCATGGATTTGGATGTATTTTTTAAAATTCGCTCAAATCTTAATTTGACTACACCATGATTTCAAACTCTTTTAAAATCATTTTTAAAAATCTTAGTTGAATACACCCTGATTTTAAAATCTATTAAAATCTCATCAAATTCTAATTTGACTACATCCCCCTTTAATCCATCAAATTGGATCCGTGGAAAATCTTGGTTGCTTGGTTGGATTCGAACGGAGGTGGTGGTGACTTAGTTGGCTGATCCGATGCATCATTGAGAGTCAAATTGTAATTGTATTAAGTGTGTGTGTGTATTTATATATTTGCATGAATATATCAAACTGTTAAAAAGTAATTGTATTAAATATATGTAACCATGGTAGCGAAATCCTTTATTTGCATTTAATTTTATATTCTCATGAGATGTTAATAGTGTAAGTATTGTAGCTAAAATTGTGAACATGAGCTCTATTTGAAGGAGAGAAATATAAAGTTTGGACTCATTTACTTTTTCTTTAACTAACGGGGTATATTTTCAAAAGATATATAAGAAAGAATTTAAATTTGCAATTTTTTTAGCCAAAACCAATATTTTAAAGGGAAATATTCAGAAATATGACAGTTTTTTAATTTTAGGATAAAAATGGGATATTTCAAATATGTACAAAGAAATAAAATTTTTCTTACACCTTAAAATGATCTAATTACTCTCGTACATGAATAGATTATTTCTTCCACCCAGAGATCATTTGCACATTTCTCCAAGAATTTCTCCCGCCCAATCCTCAGCTCAAAGAACCTAATCCACCCATCTTCCAGCTCTATCTCTCTCTCTCCTCACCTACGACACTCTTCTATGCCTGCGGTCTTTGAACCTGACTCCGCCGGCATCATCCATCCGGCGACTCCTGAGAAAAGGAGCGTGATTCAGATGAACCCGCTCAGCCCCAACATCTTCCGGTTCAAGACCGAGACTCGCCGATCAATGCACTCGCTTTCCCCTTTCGGGTTCCATGATGTGGTCATCGGAGTTCACCATTGCCCGGTCAAGGCTCCTCAGAAGGTTCGCGATCGGTCGCCTTATAAGGTGACTTTCATCACTTTCTAGTCTTTTGGCGATTTGGGTTTGATTGGATTTTGAATATTGTGAATTGGGGTTTTTTTTTACCTACGGAAATTTTCTTTCTTGTTCAGGTTTTGGATGCAACTACTTTGCAGGACGATTTATACTCGAATTTTGTCGATTGGTCTTCGCACAATGTGCTTGTTGTTGGGTTGGGAAATTTTGTTTATTTATGGAATGTTTGTAGTAGCAAGGTAATCTCTAGTTGTAGTAGCAAGGTAATCTCTAGCTTTACTTTGCTTCTCTTTCTAATTTTAACATTGTTGTTGTAATTCGATGTCACAAGCCGCAACCTTTTAATGACTATAACTGTTGTTCGATCATGTGTTTGTGTTTTTTCTTGGTGTATGTATGAAATTGATCACTTTGAGTCTTTGCCGATGTAATATTTTTTGACTTTATGATTGAATGTTACTTGCAGTTAACTAAGTTATGTGACTTGGGGATTGACGATAGTGTATGTTCCGTTTTCTGGGGTTAACGTGGAACTCATCTTGCAGTTGGAACTAGCAATGGGAAAGTCCAAATTAGAGAAACTTGTACCCATTCATATCTGGTAGACATGCTGCATTCTTAGAGATTTAAAATTGAGATCTTATTTTTATATTTATAAAATTGCAAAGTGGAATTACAAGTGTAGTTGCAACAACACAGTGTAGGTGTTTGAGCAACAAGTTTGTGACTTTAATATGGGGAATACGATCCTCAAACAACATAATGCTTGAAATACTTATATGTACTGCATAACTTGTGGAGCATGTCATCTAAAAGAGATTGTTTTAACTAGGGAACCCGAAGCCACCTATGCACAGGAGTCTACATGAGCATGCTTGTATTCAGAAGGTAGGGGTTGCGTATATGTAAAGTGGGATTAAGACTTAGTTGAGTTTACATTTCTTTTTATGTCTGCTACTTTTGGAGGGACTGATGATTTCATTCTTCCTCAAGTTTGGATAATAATGTTTTATTTCCATATAAGATTTCTTGTGCATGTAATTCATGTTTTATTACTTCTATCTGAATCTAATTGAAACATGTTGTGTTGTCACATAGGATGGCGGTAATGTGAGTTCAAATGGATGACTCCAGGGGCGCCTTGAAGTTTCTAGGGCCTTTGGAGATTGCCAGTTCAAAAAGGTTCTATTTTCTCTTCTTTAACACTTTCCCATCTCGTTATTTGTTTCCTTTGTTTTGAATGTAACATAAAACAATTGTTTACAGCTCTATATTGAAAAAGATCAAATCTGTAAAACTTGTGCTATTATAATAAATATAGCTCAAGTTATTATAAATTGGGAATTTTATTTTTAGAAAGAATGCCTATGTAAATGATTCTTTTGTAATTACTAAATATGCTTAAGTTTATCCGTCCACTTCTCATGGTACAAAACCATATTACTTTACTCTGCAAAAGATAGTTGAATTGAATGTTAATGTACTCGATGCTTTGATTGTATTATCTCTATTTTTCCATTGAATGAATTAACTGCTTAGTAACTTTAGCTGAATGCGTTGGACCATGACAACCATAAATTATCAACAACTACTAGAATGTTAAGCAATGTAATATAGTTGTGCATTGTATTTGCTAATTATTATAGGATAATAAACATGAGGACTATGTATACTTGTTATCTTGAGCGCCTACCATGTCCTAAACTACCTTAATGCGAAGAGTACCAAATATGTAAATACACACTATATCCACTGTATGCGCACGACATGCACATGATATGCACACCATGTGTACTATATGCTTAGTTTCCTGTCAAGACATACCTTTTCAGTGATTCTTTTTTGTTTTGGTTTTACAATGTATAACTAACCTTTCAACTTTCATATACATGTTAGATCTTGGATTTGTAACTTCAATTACATTCATATTTCTCATTTTGTGCATTTGTCCTGGGCCTTAGAGAAATGATATTTTGTAACTTGATTATGTAATGTCCAAAGTTGACTGTTAAATATGGTTGCACTGGTAAAATGAGAACGTGCATTTGACAAGACGACGTTGGGTGCATTTGTAGGGCAAGTATTTTTGCTAATTCGAGTGGTGCATTTGTCATTCTTGTTTCTTTAGTGAATCTAACAAATTTTATTTGATTGCTATAGGCAAACTAAGGTCCACAATATTGGGGCAAGGCTTGTATGTGTTGATAGTTGGCAATAAATATTATGAGAAACTTGACACTCAATATGCTTAGTGTTTTCTACATTTCCGCCTTCAAATTCAGTACAATTTCAACGATGCCGTTCTTCTTCAAATTCTGTTGCAACTTTTGATGCTAAAAAACCAAAAGAGGTACGGCATTGAACACAAAGAAAATTTCACCGGGGGAAGGTGATGAATTTATTTACCATTCCAAAGGGCACAACCTCAATCTAAGGCAGAGAGACTGGACCACATACTAACCTTGGGAACCAGCCAAGAAGGAGCGAGTAGTTTCTATGACAGTGCGTGCTCAAACTTAAAAAACTTCGACTGTATTGTGCTGTGTATTCCATTCGGTTAATAAATGGAATGTGATAGCTGTGAATCTTTTTGGATGCTTGTTGTATGTAAATAACTCCTAAACTTGATAGTTTAATGAAATGCTGGTATTTTGATTTGTCAAGTGTAAATTATCTTAGTTCATGTCAAAAGGGTTGTGTTTCACACTTCACAATGTTTATACTTAGCGGATCAGTGTTAGTCTTGCAATATGCATGTTTTCAGTATGTAGTGTGCATATCATATGCATGTGTTGAGCATGCAATGTGCATGACATATGCATCCTTTGAGCATGAGCATGTTTCTAGTATGCAATGTGCATATCATGTGCATGTCTGAGCATGCAGTGTGCATCCTTTGAGCATGCAATATGCATAAGTAGTTATATATCATTTTTGAATGATTATGAAATACGACTCATTAAACATTGTGCATTTACCGGGTTGTGATCGCAGTTACGGTGGCTTGAAAAGTTACAAAAAGTTACTAAAGCAATTATCTGGGAAATATTTTTCAGCAAACCAACATCGAAAACGATAGCGGAATTCCATTATAATTAATAAAGGCAAACCAACATGGGAGGGGTAATAACCCATTTATATGGGGGGCAATTTGGTCATTGGATTATGTTTTTCAAAATAAAGGCTCTAACAAACCAACTTTAGGAGAATTTTTATGAGAAAACTTACATCTGGATTATAAAAGATTAACAAAACAAATGCATGCTTCATTACACCAACAACTAGCAATTGAATTCCAAAAGCAAAGAATAGGGGAAAAAAGGTTTTCAAAGAAGAAGACAATTCGTACCCTCAACTATGAGATAGTAAGTAATCTTTTTGATTTAAACTTTCTCCGAAATATAAAAAAACATAAAGCATAACCCGCTTAGCAATGTAACTCAGAAACTGGATCCTCTCCTGAGCTCAGGATGGGGATCCTCCTGAGCAGCCTATCCGGACCATTGAAATTTGATCCAACGGTTCTAAACAGGAGGCCTCCTTAAAAGTTATAATAATTGCAATCGTTGGATTAAGTTTTAACGGTCCGGATGGGCTGCTCATGAGGATCCCCATCCTGAGGTCAGGAGAGGATCCAGTTCCATGTAACTCCTTCAACCCGAAAGAAAAAAAAAATAAAAATATGAATTCTGCCTTTCGGCTTTAAGAATTGTCATATAGAATTCATCTAGCCCAAGGTTAAGAGTTAGCTTTAGCATGGTGCTTATGTTTCACTAATGGCGTGTTTACGTACCCGTAATCGGAATCAAAATAAGGAGTTGAATTCCGATTACGGAGTATTGAAGCGATTACAAAACTTGAGGGACTCAAAAGAATCGTGGGACCCACATGAAATCAGGAATCCAACTTCCCAAATTGGAGGAATTTGACTCCTTAGAGTGAGGTATTTGGATTCCGGGTGAGTGACGGAATCAGGAATGTATTTTTTATACCTGTTATGACCCTCTCATTATTTCTAAAATTTCAAGCCTACCACTCAACCCAACAGACCACCACTCTTTGCGCACCCTGCCTTCATGCGCCTGTGCCTCACTTTCCAGTTGCCACCTCCCCGTGCGATCGTGCTTCACTTCCCATCCCACCAGCTTAAGGACCCTAGCCACGTATCTTGCAAATCGGATTCAAAATCAACCACCCAAACCCAAAAAAATAAACAATTCAAATCCAAACCCACAAATATGTGGAAGCAATTACTCAACAAACCCAGAAATCATGAAATACTTCGTAGGTGGAAGAGGTGGTGGCTATGGGGTAGGGTGCATGGGGAAGGTGGAGGTGAGGGTCAGGAGAGGAATGGTACGCAGACTTGCAGAGAGAGGAGAAGTGTTCTATACTTCTATTCAGCTGGGTTTGAATAAGAGCATCATTAAATTGTTTAATATTGGTAATTCAATAAATTTGTATACAATTTTAATTTTTTTGGAACAAAGGCTTGAAATAAAACAAATTAAAATGTTATTAAAAATAAATATACGGATGAAATAAAACAAAATAGAACAAGGGTATTTTAGTAATCATAATGATTTTTATTCCGATTCAGGTGAATTAGTAAACAACTTATATGGACTCAACATCATTACTACTCCGATTCCAGACAGTTTTAGTAAACAATTTCAACATGAATCTAATTCCACCTCAATCTAATTCCTCTTAATCTGATTACGGATTAGTAAACGCACCCTAATAGACCACCAGGAAGATAACAGTGATCAGAACCACATACCGAAAGGGTATTTCATTGGTCGGGATGCCTGATTAATCTCTGCAAAATCACTGTCATTGCCTTCCTTATATTCCGGCTACACTTATCAGCATATTGGCTCACATTATCAATGGTTTCCACAAACACATCAAGCTTTTTCTTGATCTGATCTATCACTAGCTTCACAGGTACGCTTTCTTCTCTAAAAGCAAAATCAGCATTGTGCAACAGCGATTCAATCCCAATTTCAAATTTGTCTACAAGAACGCGGATGTTGTCCAGGTCCTTCATTGTGACGAACGTTCCAATCTGCATTGAGCTGATTATTTCCCTATGCCCTTTCAGCCTCCTCTCGTAGTTATTCCACAGACGAACGTTCCAATCTGCATTGAGCTGATTACCTCCCTATGCCCTTTCAGCCTCCTCTCGTAGTTATTCCACAGCACATTACACCATTTTCCAACGAAACCTATTGGAACAGCCAATGCTCCTGCCAAGGCCGTTACAAGTAGTGGTGCAGCAACGGCAGCTGCCACTACAGAGAAACCAATACAAAGACGAATGTGGCAACAAAAATAACATTTGACATCCTCCTCCAAGCTTTCACTGATTTCAACTTCTTATCAATTTTTCTCTTACGAAGTTGCAGTTTCTCAAACATCAATGTCTGGTTCTTATAAAAAGCCTGAAACTGTACAAAGAACCCATCCGTGAAAAGATCCCCAGCTGCCTTAAATGCCCTCAATTCTTTTTAGGTTTCGCACACCCGTTCCCATCTGCCCCTGCCCCTACCCCTACTTCTTTCTCAAACTGCCTAATTGCAGCTTGAATTATCAGCTGGTTATTGAGCACACGCTTAAGACATTGCTCGAGGGAAGTACAAAAGTTCAACGTTCGAAGACTGCTCAAAGTGTTCCTCCACAAGAGAGAATCTTTACTGTTCCATATATCCTTCTTGCATTCTAGAATCACATTGACCACTTCCTGGTTTCCTTGAGCGAGTCAAGGGATAGGGACCAAACTTCCAGCCCACCTGAAAGTTAGTGAATGACACGACTTGTGCGCTGTTGGAGATTAACATCAAACGATTGCAAGCCCAGATCGAGCTTAAAGGCTACCACAACAAGATTTAAATTTAGCTAGTTTACCATAATTTAAATACACAATCAAAATTGAATCAATCTGTTATCGAAAATCGAAGACATCAAAGCTACTGAGGGCACAATAGAACAGAATTATCAAACATTGCACAATTCCAAACTGTTAATTCAAGAAAATCAAACGAAAAAACTCACAAACTTCAAGATCGTTACTATAGAACTCATCGCAAGGAGGCTGGAATCCCACTGAGTGGGACATCCAATCCCGAAATTTATTGTATTTTATTCTCAATAGTAGCGAAATTATCAAAATATCATTGTGATGCCATGTAGGCCTTCTATGTGGACCTCAAATTCTCCCTTCATTTTCCCACTCTTATTTTACTATTCCTGATAGTACTCATTTTTACAAACATGTAGCCGCAATGGAACTCGAATCAGAATTTTAACAGATAAATTATACTTAAAATTGTCAAAATTTTAACTGTTGGCTGATATGACTAGTGAGGCCTTGTGCAATGCATTGTGCACGCCACTGCCTTGGTTTTGTTTCAAATTAAAGTAATTTCGTGCATATTTGCAATGCATGGGAACATGTAGGAAGGTGTGTTATGCAAGTGGCCCATTAAAATAATATTTATTTTAGGTTTTGAAACCCACACTTGTTCCATCACACACGTCACCATAATTTTCTTCCTTTTTGGCCTGTTCCCTTAGGTATCATTTGGTATGCAGACGGGACGGGATGGAACGGAATGGGACGGAATGGAATGGGACGGGATAGGACGGGATGGAATGGAGAGGGAGCAAAGATGCCATCGGATGGAAACAAGGAGGAAGAAGAAGGAGACAGAGAGGTTATAATTTTGTGTTCCACGGATGTGGAACAAGTCATTCCAGGGGATGAGGCGGAATGAAAATTCACCCAAAATTCGTCCCGTGGAACAGCGCGTTCCACCCGTTAACGTGGGACGGAACGGCTCATCCCACTTCGTTCCGTCCTGTCCCGTCCCACGTACCAAACGGTACCTTACGTTTCTCTAGCTTTCTCACACCTCACTCCCTTTCTTTTCTTTTTCTGTCATTTCAACCGACTCTCTCTCTCTACCCACTCAACCTTCTCTCATCTCTCGACTTTCTCACGTAGCTCCCTCCCACAGTCAAACTCTCTCTTCCTCTCGATGACATGTCAAGCCCCCACCACATCACCTTTAAGGCCTCCATGAACACCTCCCAAACTCTCCTAAAATTACTAAGGGACTCTCTACAACTCCTTGGTCATGCCGCACTCG